ATAAGTATCATCACAGCATCCTCTGCATTACCAATGGTGCCCAAATGTATAGAAGAAAGAGATGATGATGACAATCATGATGACGATGGTGAAAGTAATGACTGTGATGACAATCATCATGAAGATGATAAGGATGATGACTATCATGGAAAGTCACCCAGCGTAGCCATGAGGCTAATGATGATGATGAGGGTGATGATGCCCGCGCAGCAGCTCACCAACCTGGGAGTGCTGTAGGAAGGGGCTCCCTATATCACATCTGGGGCCCGAAAAAAAAGTGAGTATCCACATTTCGGGGGCTGCGGGTGGCTCCCCGGCCCCTGAAGATTGGGGCTTAACGCCCCGCTCTGGCCCATTGTAGCTGCCACACAGGGGACTTGGGCGCAGGGGGCGCTATCTCAAAAAATGAGCCCCTTACTTTTCGGCACAAGGAGTGCTAGGGATACTGGGCCCGTGGGGTAAGTCTCGGGCCGCCCAAGTCTACAAGCGTGCCAAGGATTGGTGATTTCTTGCGGTAGGGAGACCCAGGGCCTGGAAAGTCGCCCAGCGTAGCCTCAGTGCCAGTAAAAATTGCCGGGCAAGCAGTTGGCGAAAACAAATCGAGAGCAGCGCATACCCTGTTATATGTTCATCTCACACTGATAGCCTCGAAGGGCTCCCAGGCAGTATGACCCCCTTCGATTAAACACGTTAAGAGTGGCAGAACCGGAAAGAACAGTCTTGATAACATCAACGCGTTGACAGGCAATCTGGGCACTGCTTTGAGAACAGACAAGTAACAGTGTGCAACGCAAAAAGTTGCCAAACACTTCTGAATTATGAACAAATGATGACGGTGATGATGATGATGCTGATGATGATGATGACGATGATGATGAACCCAGCAGTCATCATGATAATCATGTCCACGCACCTGTTGCATCCCAAATCGGATGATGATCATCATGACGTACCGGACGCATCCTCTGCATCGCCAATGCCCTCTAACGCCACACTTGAAATGTGTAGTATAGAATATAGAAGTATAGAAAGAGATGGTGATGACTATGATGATGATGATGATGAGATTGATGACGAGGGTGACAAGAATGATGACTATGATGCTAATCGTCCAGCAGTCATCATGATAACCATGTAACCGTCCAGCAACCCTCATGATAAGCATGTCCACGCATGTCTTGCATTTCAAATCGGCTGATAGTCATCATGACGCATCCTCAGCATCACCAGCAGTCATCATGATAATCATGTCCACGCATCTCTTGCATTGCAAACTGGCTGATAGTCATCATGACGCATCCTCAGCATCACCAGCAGTCATCATCATGATACTCATGTCCACGCACCTTTTGCATCTTCAGTCGCCTGATAATCATCATCACCAGTAGTCATGATGATAATCATGACGACGCATCCTCTGCATCGCCAATGCTCTCTAACGCCACACTTGAAATGTATAGTATAGAATGCAAAAGTATAGAAAGACATGGTGATGACTACGGTGATGATGACGATGACATTGATGACGACGGTCATCCTACCAGCAGTCATCATGATAATCATGTCCACACACTTTTTGCATCTTAATTCGCATGATAATCATCATGACGCATCCTCAGCATCGCCAGTTGTCATGATGATAAACATGAGGACGCATCCTCTGCATCGCCAATGCCCTCTAACGCCACACTTGAAATGTGTAGTATAGAATATAGAAGTATAGAAAGAGATGGTGATGACTACGATGATGATGATGATGATGAGATTGATGACGAGGGTGACAAGAACGATGACTATGATGCTAATCGTCCAGCAGTCATCATGATAACCATGTAACCGTCCAGCAACCCTCATGATAAGCATGTCCACGCATGTCTTGCATTTCAAATCGGCTGATAGTCATCATGACGCATCCTCAGCATCACCAGCAGTCATCATGATAATCATGTCCACGCATCTCTTGCATTGCAAACTGGCTGATAGTCATCATGACGCATCCTCAGCATCACCAGCAGTCATCATGATAATCATGTCCACGCATCTCTTGCATTGCAAATCGGCTGATAGTCATCATGACGCATCCTCAGCATCACCAGCAGTCATCATCATGATACTCATGTCCACGCATCTTTTGCATCTTCAGTCGCATGACAATCATCATCACCAGTAGTCATGATGATAATCAGGACGACGCATCCTCTGCATCGCCAATGCTCTGTAACGCCACACTTGAAATGTATAGTAGAATGTAAAAGTATAGAAAGAGATGGTGATGACTACGATGATGATGACGATGCTATTGATGACGACGGTCATCCTCAGCATCACCAGCAGTCATCATGATAATCATGTCCACGCACCTTTTGCGTGATAATCATGTCCACGCACCTTTTGCATCTCAAGTCGCATGATCATCGTCATGACGCATCCTCCGCATCACCAGTAGTCATGATGATAATCATGAGGACGCATCCTCCGCATCACCAGTGCCCTCTAACGCCACACTTGAAATGTATAGTATAGTCTTAAGTCGCATGATAATCATCATGACGCATCCTCAGCATCACCAGTAGTCATGATGATAATCATGACGACGCATCCTTGGCATCGCCAATGCTCTCTAACGCCACACTTGAAATGTATAGTATAGAATGTAAAAGTATAGAAAGAGATGGTGATGACTATGATGATGATGACGATGATATTGATGGCGACGGTCATCCTCAGCATCACCAGCAGTCATCATGATAATCATGTCCACACACCTTTTGCATCTCAAGTGGCATGATAATCGTCATGACGCATCCTTCGCATCACCAGTAGTCATGATGATAATCATGAGGACGCATCCTCCGCATCACCAGTGCCCTCTAACGCCACACTTGAAATGTATAGTATAGAATGTAAAAGTATAGAAAGAGATGGTGACGACTACGATGATGTTGACGATGATATTGATGATGAGGGTGACAAGGATGATGACTGTGATGATAATTGTCCAGCAGTCAACACGATACCCATGTAACCGTCCAGCAATCCTCATGATAATCATGTCCACGCATCTCTTGCGTTTCAAATCGGCTGATAGTCATCATGACGCATCCTCAGCATCACCAGCAGTCATCATCATGATACTCATGTCCACCCACCTTTTGCATTTCAAATCGGCTGATAGTCATCATGACGCATCCTCAGCAGCATCACCAGCAGTCATCATCATGATAATCATGTCCACGCACCTTTTGCATCTTAAGTCGCATGTTAATCATCATGACGCATCCTCAGCGTCACGGGTAGTCATGATGATAAACATGAGGACGCATCCTCTGCATCGCCAATGCCCTCTAACGCCACACTTGAAATGCGTAGTATAGAATATAGAAGTATAGAAAGAGATGGTGATGACTACGATGATGATGATGATGATGAGATTGATGACGAGGGAGACAAGGATGATGACTGTGATGGTAATTGTCCAGCAGTCCCACATTCGACCTCGGCTCGCTAACGGCTGTGATGATAACTATCATCGTAACATCTTCTGCATCACCAGTGCTGTCGAACGCGGATGACTGTCATGATAACTATCATCGTAGCATCCTCTGCATTCCCAAGGGTGCCTAACGCCACATTTGAAATGTATATAGAAGAAAGATAGAAGAAAGAGATGATGCTGATGATGACAATCATGATGACGATGATGAAGGTGATCACTATGATGGCAATCATCATGAAGATGATAAGGATGATGACTCTTTAGGATCACTATCATCGTGGCATCCTCTGCATTACCAAAGCTGCGGATGACTCTGCGTTACCAAGGATGCCTAACGCCAGAATTGAAATGTATATAGAAGAAAGACAGAAGAATATCATGATGACGATGATGAAGGCGATGACTATGATGACAATCATCATGAAGATGATAAGGATGATGACTCTTATGGTAACTATCATCGTAGCATCCTCTGCATTACCAAAGCTGCGGATGACTGTCATGATCACTATCATCGTAGCATCCCTCGCGATGATCACGACTACGCGTCACTATCGAAACGGCACCTCGCCTCAGATGCCATTTGGGTCCTTGAGATTTGGAGCCCTGCCTTGATGATAATTTCACTACGCATCATTCGCAGCATCTCTGGCAGTCATGAGGGTAATCATCACTAGGCATCCCCAGCATCTCCAGCAACGATGATCATAATCATGACTACGCATCACTTGATGTCAAGCGGACTCTACAGGATCTCGTGACCACCTTGATTCCTAGCCACTATCGAAACGGCGCCCCGCCTCAGATGCCATCTGGGGCATTAAGATTTGAAGCAATTTGCGCTAGTTTGGGCTAGCTCTGAGTCTAAGGTCTAGGGTCTAGGTAGGGCAAGATCGATATTCTTGCGCCAGACCCTAGATCCTAGACCCCAAGTAAGCAACTTGGCGCAGGACTTGAAAGGACGAGTCATGCCTTGATCCCCAGCATCTCGATGATGCCGATGATGATGATCACCCTTCCCGCGCGCCTCCCCTTTGGGAGAAGGGGTCGGCGGAGTTATCCTCCGTAGCACTGTCCCGCGAGAAGGGTAACCTCTATGTAACAATGCCGGCGGACACCAGGAACGAAGCACATCCCCGTAGACACTGCTGTATCTTCTCCTTACCATTTAGTTGCCCTGGTTCGGGACTCATGGGGGCGGGGTTAGCATATATGAATATATGCAATTATACAAATGCTTCAGCCCCGCAACAATTGTCAGAGGGCTGTCTCAGAGCCCTCCCTTCTCCCACAATCCATCAACTTCAAAAAACAGGCTGCCTGTTTTTCAGCCGTTTCTTGTCTGTCACAGTTTGCTGAAACTCTGATCATACCGTTCAGAGTGTCCGTATGAGCATTTGTTCCAGACATGTTTTGTTGCGCTATTCGGGTTGTCCATGGTTCGATATGGGTCTTAGGTGTGACCTTGCACGTCCAGGTCCGTTGCCCCGATCTCCGGTCTGAGGCCAGATCCTGCGGTCCTTGGCAAAGAACAGTACTTTGCAAGTCCAAGGCAAGACCTGGAGGGTGTTGGGCATTCTTTGCATTGTTAGAGATATTGACGTGAAAAAAATTCTTAGGCCTGCTGGTGGCAAGCGCGTCGCAGGCTCCATTAACTGTTGGGGTTTGCCACTGGCACGTTGCCAATGCAAATGCAGCAGAATCAAGGACACAGTTGGTTGCCGGAAACATGTGCAACCTGATATTTGCAGAACTCGCGCGCGTCGCGAGGCATATCCCCGTACAATTTCTTAGCGCGAGAGCCTTTTTTTGCAAGGAACGTTGGAAACCACGATTCTATCATTTGGGGCTTGCATAGGAACTTAAGGTCAAGCCAGTGTTGATTCAAACCGTATGTATCAGTTGCCAGGGCCGCAAAACTCGCAATTATTGCAGACCTCGCTCGGGTCACTGCGTGTCTTTCAATGGTTGGCCGTGCGCATTATTGTCCAGAGCCAATTGCAATGACCCGTGGCGCGCGGCATTCGGAGGACAACTGCTGAGAAGAAGCGCCTGGTGCAAGTGGCATGCCATCTGTGTGCGTTTGACAGGATTTCTGATTGTATATACTCAGAACAGAAATTATCAGCAGTTGCTTTAAGGCTAGTTTTGCACCTTGAAGTTCGGCGATTGCCAGTGGGCAGGCGGCCTGTACCACATGGAAACCGGAAACGTGGAGTTCCTGGGACGACTGCCGCACGAAGAGCAGGTCTTGGAGTGAGCCAAGTACAATCAAACACGATTCAGCTAGAGCAAGGCTCGTGCTTGCGTAGGCGCAAGCCTGTTCCTTGTTCTTTCTGGTGACCTGTGCATTTTTCACCGAGAACTGGTCAAACATGGAAACAGCTACATATATTTCTCGTCATACTCCAAGTGTTTCGCCACCCACTTGTTGCCTTTGAACCCTCGTATTTGGATACGTCCGGCCCACGCAAGCGGACGCCTGTACCTCCGCATGCCCGCACCAGATCAATCAATCCCTAACTAGGAGTGAAGCGCAGTGCTTGGCGCAGGCAATGTGCGGTAAAGCTGGCGTGCCTTCTGTCTGTCAACACAATCCACAGGCAGTCGACTTTTCTGGTGCAAGGACTGGGGTTCACTGGCAGATGACCTTTCCGCTCCGGAAAGTATAAATCTGATGCGAGGAGCTAGTCGGAAAGGAACTGCTATGAACTGCCAGAAGTTGCCGTTTTTGAGGTGTTCACAAGGTGCACACTTATTCCGTTGCGCAGCTGTCAGGCAAAAGACCTGCTCTTGGCTTATTGCCGCATTGACTAAGTTCATTACGAATGCGGCAGAAGCCGGGCATGCCAAGTGTCAGAGTGCTTGCTCTCTGGCGTGATAGCCTGCTGCACCTGGTTCCTAGGTGACCCTGCCGGCCAAAGGCTGGCAGGTTGCTTTGCCGCAGGCAACCAGAGACCTCTCGTTAAACTGGAGCACGGCCACCCGCCGCAAGAAAGAAATGTGCGGTGTGTTTGACGACACTCTGGACAACGTGGTGTTGTGTTTGTCTTGCTTTGTTCGCTGTGTGGGGACACCACTTGTGGATGTGAGAGTGTAGAAGAGAGGGCCGTTGCAAGTTGGGAGGAGGCTCTTGCAGCCGCTGGCTGGGCGACCGCATGGACGCTATTTTTTCCTCGCCCTGAGACAGACGAGGGCGCTTTCGCCCCACCCGCCAACATAAGGACAAGGGACTGCCGCATGTTAATGATGGACCATGGCAAATGTTGGCAGCGTGGTCAGCTTGTGACGTGATGTTGAACTTCGAATTTTGCATCCACTGTTTGGGCGTCTACGAGCCATGTCGGTGGAGATGTCCGCCAGGGGCTGGCTCAGAAAGGATCTGTTTCTGACGCAACACTAGTTGTTCATGCTAACGGCTGCTGAACTGTACGCGCGGTTCTGTTTTTGTTTGCCGCCCAAGTGCATCCGCCCTGCGGCTCGCAGTTCGCACATAGCAAGGACCCACGCCCAGGTGAGCAGCGATAAACAAATCCTTCGAGGAAGCTTAGTCTTGGGGTGCCAAAATCGGATTCCGCGGAAGGATAGGTTCAGAGCGCGGAAGCTTGCGGAAGATTCTGCGGGGAGCGCATTGCAAGATTTGTTTCCGCGGAAGCGCGTCCGCTCTGCAGTTCGCACCTGCACGCACACGGCGCGCCCTGCCAGCGCATGCCCGCACATGGTAGAAACCACGCCCCAGCGCATTCGCTCTCGTTTTCGCACATGGTAAGAACCCGGTTCTCATCCCACTTTTTCTTTTGGAGAATTGTAGGTGCGCGAAAAGAGTTGAAGGCAATAACATCAAAAAAACAGTCGTTTTGCATTGTTTGCCACTTACTCGAGCAAGCTTGGCGACGAAAACGCTCGCGGGGTTTTCCATCCGCGAGGTTTTGCATGACACTGACTGGCTGGACATTCTTTGGTGAGCATTGGCAGAGTCTATGGTCAGCTCTAGCAGAAGTAGGGGACCGTTCTGGTCACATCAGTTGCTTTGGAATGCCCGTGTTTTGCACCTGTTATCGCTCTTGGCGCCGGTGCGGGATGCAGTTGTCGACTTCTCCTGAGGATTTTGCTCCAGAGAGTACGTAACAGCACTGCTAGCCATAGCCGGAGCGGCGCTGAAGATTGTGGCGCATGAGTGTTCTAGGACTATGAATGCAGCAAATCAGAGTTCCGCTGAGAGGTTTGCGCAACGAGAGTATTGCGTTTGTCGACTGATGTTGAAACCTGATGCTCTCCATTTCTTGCCCGAGCGAATATATAGCACAATGCGTTTGCTCAGATATTTTCGAGAGTGTCCCTACAGTGACACTGAGCAGCTTTGGTCGGTCAAGTTTGAGTCAAAAGTGCTGTTCCCCAGCGTCGCGTGCCATTGTCTCTGATCAGGGTCATTCCTGGGTTGAGCGGAATTGCACATTTTGGCATTGTTCCAAACAATCGCTTCAAGGGGAGCTGCAATATGCCGTCCAAGAGTGTGTCGTTGCCCAAGTTTGCTCGCGTGCGCCAATAGACTCTGCTAGTCTCAACGCAGTGTCGTTCAAGTTGCTGAAGAGCTATGCAGGCTGAAGTCGCTGAGTGTGGCCAGGGCAAATGCGCTTGGAGTTTCTCAGCTCGACACTCTTCAAGCTGGTTTTTTCAGGGGCGACGTTTGGCAGCGTTGCACTCAGCGGCATCCTTGGGCAAAGCCGCACTAATATGCGTTTGCGTTAGCAGCACATTGTCATCAAGACTCACAGAAGCCAACGTGTTTAGCACATTCTCAACAAGTTCTGAACGTTTAGCGCTGCGTGAAAGGCAAGCTGCAACCTGTCCCCTGTGAGCAACACAAGGTGAATCAGTGGCCCATTTCGGCTCTGCAGCCCGATTGAGCAGATCATGCGGAGCTGCTTTGTTGTGCTTCTTCAGCACATGTCCTGTTTCTGACACCAGACACTGACAATGCCAATGGAGCAGTGACAAAAACCCGAGTGAAAGGAGTGAAGCAAGGGCCTCTCCTAACCAAGCCTTGCGAAAGCTAAACTGCAGGGCACGAAACGAAAGCTTGCGGCGAAAGTGGTTGAAGAAGAGCCCGGCGAAGCGTCGCAAAGGTTCAGCTTCGAAGTTTCCATGTTGCAGATTTCGGCTCCCGTGTCGCTCTCGTGTGGGTGGTTGTGTCGCTCATGGCGGACAGCATCAACGTGTAGTCAGGAATGCTTCATGTGTGACATGTCTCTGTGTGTGTGCGTGTGTTTGTTTGTTTGTTTGTTTGTTTGTTTGTTTGTTTGTTTGTTTGTTTGTTTGTTTGTACTTGTTGTTCTGTGTGTGTGTCTGTCTCTGCCCGTCGGCCTGTGCTTGTCTCTGTGTTTGCAAGTGTGTGTTGGGAGTTGAGGTAAATGCAATCGGCGCCCGCCAAGCGATCGCTACAAAACACATGCCCGCGAAAGTGACACGCGTGGCGGCGAAAGCATCGCAAAAGGTTCCGCGAAGACGGTTTGGAGGGCTTTACGCACCCTATAGTCGGCTCTGCCCACTTCCTTCGGCAGGATCCTTCCCTCAATCAAGGAGTGGCAACCCCAATGATGTTCCGCTGACCCACATGGCTCAAGACGCATTGGGCAAAAGGTACGCTGCGTTGCGAGACACATCTAGGTTAGTTGGCTGAAATGCCGTGTCTATAGGGCGCATGGCTGCGCAATCAGCCTGTGAGTTCACCGTTAGCCTGTGTGAGACCTGCCAAGAGGGATTTTGAGGGGTTCCTCTATGCGTGCCAAGGGTTTGGGAACACATAACTGACCACGCTCGCTTGCGCAGCGAGCGTAGCGGGGAAACCCCAAAACGAGAAGGAGATGCCCTGAGTGATCGAATTGTGTTTTGTTGCGCCGAGCCAGGCCTGTGAGAGTGTGTGAGCGCACGCGGGCGTGAGCTCACTCACTCCCTTGCTCAACCATTCACTCAGCCAGGCCTGAGCGCACGCGGGCGTGAGCTCACTCACTCCCTTGCTCAACCATTCACTCAGCCAGTCACTCACTCGCTCACTCTCACTCCCTCCCTCACTCCCTCCCTCCCTCCCTCCCTCCCTCCCTCCCTCCCTCCCTCCCTCGACTCAGATCGCGGTTGTTTTCTGACACAGGCCCAGTGCCCTTCTCGCATTTTCGGAATGTTCCAGCCGACCCTTCCAAGTGTCGTAGTGAAACAAGTGCCTTTGTTCTTGGAACATGTGCATTCTCTCCGAAAGACACGCACATTCCTCAACAGTTACGTGTGTTTTCATAGAGCAGATGTGTGTTATCAAGGCACACATGCATTTACTGACAAAAGCAACACTCTCTCAACACACTTAGCACGCTGCCTGGACATGATCTGTTCGGCTTCCTCACACATAAAAGGGACATTGCCCACGAAAGCATTTGGACAGTTGTAGGATGCAAGCCAACAACGAACACTGCACTAACTTGGGCTCTGTTGCTTTTCCAGTGTCGTGTTGTAGCAGTTCAGTTGCACGCTGTACGCGTAGCCAGAGCAAGCTTGTGGGTGGGACAGTGGAGACTGCGTGCTGCTCCAAATCTTATCACCGTCAGGGCCCTTGGCGACAAAGTCTATTGCGCCTGCAAGGTGTTCCTCTTCCCCAAAGATTGCTCACTCTGTCCGACAGGCAATCAAAGCCGGCGTGGACCGTGAGAAAGCAGCAAGCATTTGCATTCCATCGGAATTCCAGATTCCATTGCCAGGGCCGCCGTTCAATGAACATTCACATTGCAGGCCAACCCACGCACCTTGCCGCGCGCTTCGCGTTCTGCGCCCACGTCGCTTTGATCTCATCTGCAGTCATCGCGCTTCAGGTAAGGCTCTCGTGGCCAACGGGCGCCACGCTTCATTTTGTTGAAGACTTGTTTAAACCTGAACACAACGAAAGCAAATGTTTAATCCCGCTTTTTGTGAGGCTGTCCTGATAACTTCATCTGCAACGAAAGGCTCTTCGTATCGGTGTACCGTGCTGATCACTGAGCTGACGGCCGTCGATGTAGTACGTGTGCGACTTGGCAAGTTCGATTCGCGCATCTCGGGGATGTCCGTTCATCAGTTGCAACAAGTTGCTGCAACAAGTCAAATTTCGTCATCACACTCGTCACCGATGTCGCTTGGACGCCAGGCGCATGAAGCATCTAGCGCCGGAGGTAGCATATTAGATAGACCGGTCGATTTGAGGTTAACATCAATGAAGTTTTTCAAGCGCGCCGCAAG